TGAGAAAGGCGTGCCGCGAACTCTTCTCTAACATTCTCTTAAACTTCCGGAGTTATTTGAACAACCTCATTACGTATTCTTTCTTTCAGTTCATTGATATTTTGTGGTCTATTTTGATACAAATTACCCATAAGTTTAAATTAAATAACCCCATAAAAAGAAATCAAGAGGAGTCAAATCAGGTGGCCTAGGCGGCCATTCTATTGTTCCTCTTTGACCTATCCACCGTGGAAAGACGTTGCTTAAGAAGTTGCGTACCAAGACAGCATAGTGTGGAGGCGCACCATCTTGCTGTAGCCATAAATCATTTCTGATTGTTTGGAAACAATCGGTTTAATTCTGAAAGCAAGAAATTTTGAAGAAATTCTAAATATCGAGGACTTGTTAAGTTTTCTTCGAAAAAGTATGGTCCAATACACCTATTATCTATTATTCCCACCCAAACATTAATTTTCTCTGGGTATTGAGTACGGTACTCTTGCATCCAGTGTGGATTTTCCGTAGCCCAGTATCGATAAGTTTGACGATTGACATGACCGTTTAGTAGAAATGTAGGTTTATCAGAGAAAATATTCTTTTTTAAAAACATCCGATCTCTGTTATTTCGTTCCATTATAATGTCACAAAATTCAATTCGTCTATCAAAATCATCTTCCATAAGTTCTTCTACTAAACTTACTTTGTAGGGATGCCACGTTTCCTTCTTTAGCTGTTTAAGAATTGTTGAATGGTCCATGTCATTATCTAATGCTACTTGCCGTGAACTGTTATGAGGATTATCTTGAAAAGCTAACAGAACGTCTACTTGTTGGTTTTCAGATATTGATTTTCTACTAACTTTAGGAAGGTCTTTAACATGACCCGTTTCTCTATTTTTTTTCTCAATTTTGCTTACAGTGGATTGTGAAATTGGTTCTCGACGGGGGTATTTATTATTAAATAACGCACATACTTCTTTCTGCGTACGTGTTTTATCTCCATAACCAATAATTATGAGAATTTCAATTTTTGCGTTTCAGTTAGCTTCATGTTCAAAGATACAAAGACTTTTTAAATACGTTTACTACAATAATACTATTAATCACTTGACAGAAAGATAATTAAGTTTGAATGTCCAACTATCAATGTTCATATTGATAAGCTAACTAGTTTTTTTAAAAAGGTAAAAAGTAAATTAAAAGACCAGTGATGGCCTTTATAAAATTTATTTTTGGGTGTCAATAATACATCATATCAATACTTAATAAATATTTATTGTAATAATAAATATTTAATAATTTTTTTAAACTCAAAATTACAAACATCAAATACTCAGACATATTGATATGGCTGAATAGGTATTTAAAAGACCATTCAAATGACGTATTACAATACCCCCTTTCTATTTAAAAATTTTAGCAATGACGTCATCACTCTCACATAGATGACGTCAAAAATATAAATGTATTCTTACGAATAGCTTATTTAAAAATAAAAATCGACGGGTTTTAGGATTTTTCCTTAAAGTCTCCGGTTTACGAAATAACGAATTTATTCCTTTCATTTTCACCATACTGTATATGTTTACAAACGAACATCTAACTTATTTATATATTCTATCGACTCTGAAGTCACCATTAGGAAATCATCTCACTTGCCTTGATAGGATCTTGTGGGACACTGTTCTGTGATAAATGGTTTATGGTTGTCCGTAGTCACAGAGTGGGGATGGTCGTTTACCACATTTGTGCATAATAAACCATATCTGCATCAAATAAACTGTGTTTGGTTCTGATTCGGTCCATAGTCCATGTGTTGCGTGGTAAGTTAAAACCTGGTGGTTTTTGTGTGATGCAGGGTATGCTGCTATTTTGTTGTTCCATCCATTCTCGAGTCCAAGTAGTCATTAAGTTGAACTCATTTTCCACTGCAATCTCTGCTGTTTTTATTGGCGGTCGTCTGGAGCGTAAACGGTTACCGTTGGCAGCATCCATATCTTGGTGATTGGGCAGGATATCGTTACTAAGTATCTTTTGGTACTTACTAGTGAGGGAGTGTATACGCTGTAGTTTGGGTGGTGCAATGTTAGCAGCCTACTAACACAGTTTAAAATCATACAGCTTATAGAAACAGGGTCAAATAATGCTAGATGACTATCTGATGATTTACAGTGGTGATACGAAAGAAACGAGAGCCAAAAAAGAAATCGCCCTGTTAATACACAGAAAATTTTTACACCAAGTACGTAAATATATCAAAAATATATAGGGTGTTATTAAAATTAAATAAGTTAAAAGTATTTCCGGTGGATTAAAAAAGTGGGTGGATTAAAAAAGGAAAAGGATTAAAAGTGGAAGGTAAAATATAAACAAAAGATATGGCTATAGTTGCGTTATGCGTTATTGTACTTGCATAACTATCATCTTTTTTGTTTCAAAGATATTTGCTTGATTCCATACTTAACCCCAACTCTGTATATATATAAAACAGGTCTTTAAGTAATTGTACAAAAAGAAACCGTAGATTCTACACTTTAAAATATTACGATTTAAGTCAAGTTGCTTTAATAAAATGTTGATATTAAGAAAGATACAGGGTGTTAAAGGGGAAATTTAAAATTTTAGTTTTCCCTGTATCTTTTAGGTTTGTCAATATTTATGTATAAAAATTTACAACTGGGTACTATTAAATATCAGAAATTATAATTTGATGTCTACTTTGATGTAGCTAACAGAGGGCGCCACATATGCCACATATGTGGCATACATTTGCACGTAACTGTTTTGCTCTTTAAGTTACCGATATTTTTAATAAAAAATATTAAAGATACGTTATTTTAACAAACAAAAGGTATATCTGTTAATATCTTCAAAACTCAACAGTTTTCGAGATAATCGCAATATCAACTACTATTAAATAAAATAAATATATCAGCAGAATAAAATAATAGGATTTGATAAATAACAGAATAATTGGATTTTACATCAAACATTTTACGTTTTGTATTAAATTAAAGTCATACTCAAAACATTTTATTTACAAACCAAATTAAGAAATAGTTAAAGTAAATAAAATTAAACTTTTTGTCAAAGTAAGTGTTCACTATGTCCATCATTTTCTTTAATACATTTGTCAATACATTCCATAAAATATCGTCTCATATTAAATAGCTTCATTGGTTCTGAAGAAATTGCTGCAGTATTTGTTATAAGTGTTATAAGTATAATAAATAATTTTTTGAAATGTTTATGAATTAAATAATTATATTAATATCTCACCACAAGAATATGACTACCATGAACAATCCAACGTTCAGGAAAGTTGTATTTAAATACTGTCTCACTCCGCTTTCCCTGTAATGTAATGGTTTACCATCTTGTAGAAACCACATATTTCGCCTTAAATTTGATGAAAATTCTTTCAATATATCAATAAAATCATTATATAAAAAATATAAGTAAATCTTTTTATTCAAATTGCAAGATTATTCGCATATCCGTAAAAAATAATTATCAATGGTTCCAAACCATAGGACATGCATTTTAAATATTAATTTTGAATGATGTTTTACGGATATGCGAATTACCTTTCGATTTGAATGGTGAGATTTGTTTACATTCTTTACAAAATGATTTTATTAATTTATTGGAAGATTTGTCATCAAACTTAAGGCGAAATATGTGGTTTCTACAAGATAATACACCATTACATTACAGAGAAAGCGGAGTGAGACAGTATTTAAATACTTCTTCAAACTTTCCTGAACGTTGGATTATTCATGGTAGTCATATTCTTGTGGTGAGATATTAGTACAATTATTTAATTCATAAACATTTCAAAAAATTACTTATTATACTTATAACACTTATAATAAATACTGCAGCAGTTTCTTTAGAACCAATGAAGCTATTTAATATGAGACGATATTTTATGGAATGTATTGACAAATGAATTAAAGAAAATGGTGGACATAGTGAACACTTACTTTGACAAAAAGTTTAATGTTTTTTAGTTTAACTATTTCTTAATTTGATTTGCAAATATAATGTTTTGATTATGACTTTAATTTAATATAAATTAAAATAAAATGTTTGATGTAAAATCCAATTATTCTGTTATTTTATCAAATCCTATTATTAATTATCCTGCTGATATACTTATTTTATTTAATATTTCGTTAATTATTGACTTTATTAAGGTATTTTATAACAAAATTCAGAAGTATTGATGTTTTTCTTTAATTTTCTTTCATTGCTTGGAGTAATTGCGTTAAATCAGAATTATGCAGTTGATTTGTAAAATGCGATTATCTCGAAAATTATTGAGTTTTGAAGTTATTAACAATTATACATTTTTTTGTGAAAATAATGTATCTTTAATACTTTTTATTTTAAATACCGGTAACTTAAAGAACAAAAAAGTTAAGTGCAAATTTATGCCACTTATGTGGCATATGTGGCGCCCTCTATTAGCTATATTAAAGTATTCATCAAATTATAATTCCAGATATTAAATAGTACTTAGCTGTAAATTTTTGTATATAAATGTTTACAAACATGAAAGTTATAGAGAAAAATAAAATTTTAAATTTCCACTTTAACACCCTGTATCTTTTTTAATATTAACATTTTATAAAAGCAAGTTGGCTTAAATCGTAATATTTTAAAGTATAGAATCTGCGGTTTCTTTTTGTATAATTACTTAAGGACCACCCTGTATATATATATATATATATATATATATATATATATATATATATATATATATATATGTGTGTGTGTGTGTGTGTGTGTGTATTTGTGCGTATGTGTGTGTTACGGTAGCAAAAAGAAGTAGGAGCATATCTAGTAATAAAAAAAAAACGTATAAAAGTTATAATACAACTATAAACACGTATTGTTTCATCTCTATGCTAGAGCAGTGTTAAGACTATAAATTGTAAAATAGATACAAACTTAAAATACACATATAAAACGAAAAATGTAGATACTTACAACTAACACAAAACCAGAATAACTAACCTTCTGGAAACCGCTTTTTTAATATTTCGTGTGGTACATTCAACTTCATTGACCAAGACGTCGGCATGTCAAGATGCTTCTCTTCCAACATTTCGGTTGCATCGAGATCATCATCTCCTATTTCTCTGGGCCGATGTTGTCGCTGGAACAGGGGCTCAGCTATTAAAAAATGTATCCATTTCTCATTATTCTGTAAATCAAAATTGATATTTGATAGTCCCTCGCAGCAATCTTGTAAATTTACGTAATAATTTTGATGGTTCCAGATGCTTTCGATTCCCAAATAAATATCTGTTGTTAATGGGTGAGAAAATCCTGTACTAGGTTCAATAAAGAAGGGTTCCTGAATTTGTTTATTTGGGGGTAATACTATAACCCAGGCATGTGTTCTTTGTCCTTCTAAATCGTCGGGCGGACGGGCTTCTTCTTCCAATCTTTGTGCCCTATAATAATATTTTATATATAACAAAGTTTTCATTCAAAAAATTATTAATCAGTCATTATTTAAAACATGCTCCTATTTTCTTCATATTATTTAAATAATTTTTTCTACTACACTTTTAAGAGCTTTTCCAGAAATGGAAATGAAAAGATAAAACTGGTTAAATTAAGGAAGTCCGGAAGTCATGTAGGCCAGAACGGTCAATACATAACAGTACCCGTTGCGGTGGTAACTACTTAAACAGCGTGTACACAGCGGTGTAGTAAGCCAAGGGAATGACTACTACACTATTTTTCCCAGGTTTATTAATAAGGCTGAGGAATTAAACGATAACCCCGAGTACGGGCGCCTCTTAAATGGGGCAGGGGTGCGAAGAATCTCCCGCTTGGCCAAATTTAATATCAAAAAAAGCTGTAGAATAGGCACATGGAATGTACGGTGTTTCTTTGAACCCGGAAAAACACACAATGCCATAAATGAGATGAGAAGGCTGTAAATATCAATTCTGGGTATTACTGAAATGCGATGGTCCGGATCTGGCCAATGCCATGTGGATGATCATGAAGTATATTATGCACGAGAAGACAGTAATTATTATCGTAATGGTGTAGGATTCATAGTCTAAAGGAGGTTAGCAATTGTGTTAGGGCGATATGCCAGGTATCTGAATGGGTCATAATGATTTAGTTGAACGCAAAACCCAGAACCCAGAAATATAAATTTAATACAAGTGTATGCACCGACAGCGAAAAGTGAACTAGAAGAACTTGAAAAGTTCTACGCCGATGTAAATACTGTTACTGACCAACTCAAGATTAAAGATCTTACCATTCTAATGGGTGACTTTAATGCTATTAGGAAAAGGCAGACAAAGTAACATTATCAGATGTTATGGACTGGGCGATAGAAATGAAGGAGATTATTTCGCAGATTTTTGCAAAGAACATAACCTCTGTATAATGAACACCTTTTTCAAACTACCTAAATGGAGATTATATACCTGAAAATCTTCAGCAGACACTCCCCGTAATATTGTCAGAAACCAAATTGACTACATAACTATCAGTGAGCGTTACAGAAATGCAGTAAAGTATGTAAAAACTTTTCCTGGTGCCGATGTTCCATCTGATCACAATCTGTTGTTAGCCGAAATAAAATTAAAACTTAAACGGATAAAACAACAACGATCCTATAACAAACTATATATGGATTTTAGGATAATAGTAAGATGATTGCAAACAATTTAGAGAGCAATTTTCAGAATTATGAACAACAAGAATCAATCGGGTGTCATTGGAACCAAATCAAAACGATTATAAGCAACTGAACTCCAAACTTAAAAGAGAACAGTCAAAAAAAGCAACAGTGGAGGAACGATGAGATTTTAAATTTGATGAAAAAAAGACGCAATTTTAAGAACCAAAACGTCAAAATTTATAAAGTAATTAATAAAGAGATAAGGACTAAAATAAGAGCTGCAAAACAAACATACTTCGCAAACAAATGTTTAGAAATTGAAGAGTTACAGACATGAATTGAAGAAAACATGAGTCATTTAATATCAATAAAAAAAATAAAAGAACTGACAGGTTAGAACAAAAAACAGGCAAATAACATCGTTGATAGAGACGGAAACCTGATTATCACTAATTTGCATAAAATAAACAGAAGGAAAGAGTATATTGAGGAACTGTTTAGTGATGAAAGGCCCAAGCTTAAAATAAACGAAATAGTTACAGGACCTGATAGCTATGGACAAAATTGAACAAGCAATACGGTTAGCAAAGACTCGGAAAGCGACGGGACTAGATGAAATACCTAGTGAAATAATAAAGCTCTTCGAAAGTTCAGGTAAAATATCTCTCCTTCATATGTTTAATAAAATTTATGAAACTGGCTATATACCAACGGATTGGTGGCTGTCGACTTTTGTGACGAGACCTAAAAAAGCAAATGCAAAAAGATGTAGTGACTACCGAACCATCAGCTTGCTGAGTCACGCTTTAAAGATATTTCTACAAATTTTGCAATCTAGGATGTACCAAAAAATAGAACAACAACTTGGTAACACACAGTTTGGATTCCGCAATAACCTTGGAACAAGAGAAGCACTATGTAGTATTTAGGTTATGGTACAGAGATGCAGAGATGTGGGACATCCAGTATATATGTGTTTTATTGACTTTGAGAAGGCCTTTGATCGAATAAAACATACTGAATGATAGGCATTCTTCAGCAGGTAGGTATTGATGATAAAGACCTACGCATTATTAAAAATCTTTACTGGCATCAACGTGCAAACATCAGAATTGGCCGGGACACTTCTGAAGAGCTTCAAATATAAAGAGAAGTATGGCAGGGCTGCATTTTGTCCCCGCTACTATTTAACATCTATTCTGAGTTCGTTTTCAATAAAGCAGTGGATAATGTTCAATGTGGTATAAAAATGAATGGCGTCAATATTAATAATTTGAGATATGCGGATGACACAGTGCTAATTGCAAGTAATTACGAAGAACTTCAACAACTAATTAATAGGATTACCACAACGTGTGACGAATATGGCCTTAAGCTAAACATCGCAAAGACAAAGGTGATGGTCGTCAGTAACACGCCAATAAAACCGAAAGTGGTAACAGCTTATGGTGAACAACTAGAGAGAACTAACAGTATCACTTACCTTGTAATCGTAATGAGAACTGGGACATGAGCATAGAAATTAGAATACGGATAGAGAAGGCCAGAGCTGCATTCTTTAAGATGAAGAAACTGTTATGTGGAAACAATATTACTTTAAGTCTGGAAATTAGATTAGTGAGATGTTATGTGTTCTCTACTCTTTTGTATGGTGTCGAAGGTTGGACTTTGACGGATACACTATTCAAAAAACTTATACAAAATCAATACAATACATGATTCAATACAAAAATGGAAGTGCAATATTATAAATTTTCGAAGTATGATTCAAAGGAATCTAAAAATGATAATCCTAAAATATGCAGAAGAACATAACACTTAATAATGTTGTTTAACTGGGTAAATAATAAGATAATAAAATTCAATAAAAAGAATAACAATAATTTAGAAGACAAATTGGTAACTGATTAAATGTTTAAATGTTTAAATCATAATCTTTGTCATTCTATCTGCGTTTCTCCATATAAGGGGCGTTTTCTCGAATTACATTTCTACATATCACTATCTATCCCCTCAAATGCATATTCTGCCTAAGCGTTTTCCACCAGGTGTGCTTTGAACTTCTAACCATAATTTTGGTAGAAAATACGTTTTTTCGACATTTCGATTTCTAGTTTTCACAATACAAATTGTTATTGCATAATACAAAACAAATCTAATAATTTTAATTTATCTACTTCGTTCATATTGTCAATTCACACATATTATACTTTTGTATATACTATCTATCTATATAAAAGTCTATGATGACAGGTCACACTGTAAGTCCAGTATACTAATGGCGCCAGCGCCATCTAAAAAAGAAATATGAACTACCATATTTCAATCATATTTTGTTCTTGAAACAAGACGTTTAATTAATAATACTGTATTTATTTTATATTAATATACACCTAGCAGTAGGTATAAAATGCAAACCCATAAAAATGGTAATTAGTGATTTATGTTTAGGGTCGCTGTTTGGGGATCGCCAAGGTACGTCTGGAGCAGGGGGGGTTAACTTGAATAGTCTTGTCAACGACAACGTTTTTAGTAATATTTTCTAGCACAGATGTCACTCCAGGTAATGATTGATGGTGACCTGTAATTTTTTAAAAACACAAACAGTGTCATCTGTCATCCGCATGTCATCCAACGGATTGTTGAATATTCAAATCTCGTTTTTATTGTGATAAATGTGATTCTTGTCTTATAATCTGTGTTGTGATCCAAATCCAAAGACGATATAAATTCTTGAATATATGTATCATCCTATGCAAATATAAATGTATGTATAATTCTTCTTCAATAACCTATGTATATTCTTTTCAATAATGATATTGTGTATGTTCATAATGAGTCAGATACTTAATTTAAAAATTATGTTTCAGAAACTACATTATGTCTACCAACGTGACATCAAGGAAATGTAGTGTCCCTAATTGTACTGCCTATAAAAAGATTATGCACAAATTCCCAAAGGAAACAATTAAAGCTCTCGAATGGATTAAAAGCACTGGCAATCAAATAATATTTGAAAAACCAGCTAGTGAAGTCCACAAACAAAACTACTTCATTTGTAAAGACCATTTTGAGGCAAAATATTTAATGCATAATAATAGATTAGCTAAAACTGCAATTCCAAGGCTGAACCTACCGGGTAGGTTGACTTTTATGTTACATTTGAAAGTTTCATAAACCATAAACATATCTAGTTTTGTGATAACTGAACATTCTCATACATTCCATAATAAGTCAAAAGTTCATGTTTTATTTTGTAGTTACATTTAATATGTTCCGACTTTATACTTTAAATGAGGTTAAGCATACTAGTTAGAATCTTCATTTCTATGTTTTGTTGAATTGCCATTGCTTAACGTGTTAATTTATTTCAGGTTTAGTGAACCTAGATCATAAGGAAAATATTGCTCCACAAACATCCCTCATGAGTCTTCCAAGTACAAGTAGAATAGAAGTGGACGTTCAGTGTGTCCCTCGTACACCTAAAAGATTTCTAGGTAGGTAATGTAATATTTAAATTATAATTAATTGATATGATTTCCAAAGAATTGAAATTTACAATAATTTACAAAATAAGTAAAGATACATTCCAACTTAGGAAAAGGTTTAAAAATATCAGCAATTTCTGTAAATACACCCCAGTACAAAATAAAACACTGAAGTAAAAGCAAATTCATAATTTAACGAAATACTTAAAAATTATTGTTTTGAATTCCAGTTAAAAATATATTTTTTAGAATATTGAATATTAGTAGAAGTATGAAGGATTTAGATTATAAAAATTATTTGGGCTAATGATTTATA